CCTCGAGCTTGTCGAAGGGGCACACAATCACTAGGTGTCCTCTTCTCCCCATCTTCGATCGCAAAGAAAAAAAACAGGCACTAAAAAAAGCGGATATAACTTGCCCCCCCCCCCCCTTTTTTTTGGTAGAAATGTTTATTTGGATCTTTGACATCGTTGTTAGGGTGAAAAAAAAATAGGTGCAGGGGCTTGGTGTTGCAAAAAAAGACTGCGGAACTGGAGTGCCAAGCCTCCCTTTGCGCTGGTCAATTCGCGTGAGTGTCACCGCATTCAACTTTACCAGAATGAAAGAAACCTTTCCTTTAGAAGGGGGGGGGGGGGGGCTAATCTTGAAAAAAAAGTAACGGATTACAAGGAATCTGTTACGTAAAAAATGTAAGGGAATTACTTTAAAATTACTCTAGAAAATATGTAATTTTTCCGTTACTAAATTACCGATAAATGTAAGGGATTACAAGTAATTTCGTTACTTGTAACGGATTACGTACAAGTCTGATCGGGGGTCACGTGACCTCGGCGGGGAGGGGGTCACGTGTCCTCGGGGGTCACGTGACCTCAGGGGAGTCACGTGACCTCCGGGGGAACACGTTACCTTGGAGGTCACATGACCTTAGGGGTCACGTGACCTGGGGGTCACGTCACCTTGGGGTGACCTTGGGAGGGGTCACATGACCTTGGGAGGGGTCACATGACCTTGTGGGAGTCACGTGACCTTGGGTTGACCTTGGTTACGCCGACGGCGACGGCGACGCCGCTCAAGCTGGAAACGGGCGCCTAAGAGCTGCGCTCTAAAACTTATTACGGAGCTCAAAATTTATCCTATCATATCCCGGATATCCCCAACGAACAATATTCACATTTATAAATTGGTAGAAAAAAAAACAACTTTAAAAATAATCGTTTGTGTTCCTTTAAAAAAATGTATAGCACATCCACTTTACGTGGAGATGGAGGGCCAGCGAATCCGTTATCGTTACGACAACGACAACTTGGCGAGATCTATACGATTTACATATATAAGACTGCAATAAATACACGTACACGACTTCGTTGCTTAATTGCCTTTATTCAATTCTTTGTGACTAAAGTGGTCATTGGCTTATGGTCACTTGTGGGCAAGTTCTCAACCCAATTTTTCGAGGCACACCTCGAGGACAGTTTTTTTTTTTTTTTTTCCCCGATTGAGCCCAAATCTTTATATCAGCATCGCGGAAGCGAAAGAAAAGAAGGTTAGATGGGCGCGTTCTTCCCCCAGCCCCGTCACAGCGCACTCTTAGCTGAGGTAAGTCGGTGACCGTAGATGATAACAAGGGATCAGAACCTCACTATCTAACAGGGCTGGGCAGAGATACTCCAAAAAGTATTCGGGAATACAAATACTGACATACATGTGTTTTAAGGCCAAAATACAGGTACAGAGATACATTTGTCTTTTATGCAACGGGATATCCCTCAGATACTTCCGCATTAGCGGCCGAAAAAGTATTCCAGAATACAAATACAGGTACTCATAGAAATACATTCGTTCCCGAAGGGTGCTACGTGGAAAGGGTGCAGTTGGTGGCGAAGGCAAAACGTAATTCATGCTTGTGCTCCTCTTTTCGTGACATTTTATGCCACTGCCCATTACCTCGAACTCTCTATCTATCAGTAATTCCGCTGAAAAAACATGTCACCCCCGTTGCACCACATAGTTAGAAAATGGTAAAGACTCCGTACCATGCTTGACAAAAGGCGTCTGCCCAAAGTTCACCTTGTTTTGCCGTGAGGGCGCATCTCAAACTCGCTGAGTCACCCAGGAAATTGGACAACAGGGCCGTACCTTTTCTCGACTTCTTCACAGCGTTCACTCCGCTAAAATTTAAAGAGTGGGAAGCTTTGCGGGAGCAGTTGATTTTGTTATTCTTGCAAGTAACCTTCTTTAAACCACTTTTGTTTTTGTTTTTTTGTTTTTTTTATTGTTGGTGACTGAGATGGATAATGTTATAGGGCAGGTACATATTATAAATTCCGAAACAAGTTGCACCAAACAGATGTTATTATCCTTTAAATTTATCTTAAAAGGGGCAACAAATGGAACGAGATGCCTAAGTCGGGGCAAAGTATCGCGACACAAGCGATACATCTCAGTAGTGAAATACTCTGGAGTATTTCACTACTGAGATACAAATACATTTTACAAATGTATCTCGATACAGAGATACAGGTACTCGAAAGTATCTTTAAGATACTATCGCGATGCATTTGTATCGCGATACTGCCCAGCCCTGCTATCTGATGATGCCAAGGAAGGCTGACTCACGCGGATTGCCCCCTCTTTTTATTTATACTTGCCACGACCAATCGGAACGAAGGAGCGTCATTTAAACGGAAGTTTTTTGTTAACATCCATGGACGGCATTTTTTCCCAGATCCTATAGCACGTAAGTAAAACAGAAAAAAGTATGTTAAGGATTAGTTTATTCAGCTATAATCTAGCGCAAAAACCTTGTAATTTGTGCGTACCTTTCTGTGTTAAATTTGTGAGCCTGCTGTCTGAGTGCTGTATTGGTGGCTGGGACCTTGTCGGGTGATTTTAATCACCTTTTGTCTCAACCGCTTTGAAACTTGTGCCAAAACGGTTCAGACAACTTTTTTTTTTTATGTTAATGACATAGCCGACAACATTGATACAAGTGTGGCTGCGAAAATGTTTGCTGATGACTGGGTTGTTTATAGCCAACCGGCAACGGCCAGGCGGCGCCAGCGGCGTGAGAGCGCACGGTTATACCCTGTTTCGTTGTAACTTGGCAAAGGGTGAACGATAAGCGCCACACTCCGTGCCCAAGGCTTCGAAATGCGCGACGCATATGAGCGCGACGCATATGAGCGCAACGCACACATATTGGAGCATGACGCAGCGAAAAGCCTGATATTTCTCTGGAGTTGAGGCGCGCTCCGGTGATACGCAGTCACGTTTCGATTGGCCCGCCGGGGCCGTAGCTTCCGCTCTACTGGCACGTTACGCGATCACGGCTTCCTGGGATACCCAGTATTTCTTGCTTCAGACACTAGGCTAAGCGGCGCCACCAGAGTAAAAGCTCACGTTTGAACAATGCAGCCGCCACTCCCAGGGTACCCAATATTTCTTGTTTCAGTCGCTAGATGGCGCCAAACCAAACAGCATTGCAGCTTGCCTATAGAACTGTCAGAAACACGTTGGATCCAGTATCGCTTAACGAAAACTTTTGCCAAAATTTCCGAATGGTGTGAGAGGTGGCAAATGGTTATTAATTACTCAAAAAAATGCGCTGTCAAGTATTACACACAAGAAATCCCCTCTTAGCTTTGCATACCACGTAAGAGACAAATCCATCTAAACTGTAAACGAGGTAAAGTATCTGGGCCTAAATCTTAATTCAAAATTAAATTGGGAAACTCATATAGATAATACAACTGCAAATGCTTAGAGAAAGTTGTGTTACCTAAGACAAAAGCTGGGACCTATGTGATTCGTCGGTAAAACTTTCGGCATATAAAAGTCTTAACTCAGCCAGTGCTAGAATATGCGTCCATTGTGTGGGACTCGTACTTAATAAAAGAGATTGAAAAAGTTGAGATAATTCCGCGCCTCAGTGCATGATTTATTTCTTCCGATTTTAGGCGCCTGTCATCAGTGTCGGGCATGATACGTAAATCCGGACTTGAGTTGCTAAACTTTTCTTCTTTTTTTTTTAATTTACAATAATGAGGCAGGTTTAGACAAAGCCTTATATATTTTGCCACCTCCTCATCGCTCTGCAAGGTTGAATCACACAAAAAAATGCTCCATATGCTTCTAAAAATAACATATTTAAATATTCTTTTTTTGTGCGTGCGATTAATGATTTGAATTCACTGCCCTCCGATCGTGTGCACGCCCCAAATATTGACTGTTCTGTTCGAAACTTTGTGTAACCCTCTCCTTCTTGGATGGTGGAAAACCATCTGCAGTATTTCCTTAATATAAATAAAATAAAAAATAAGATTATATATGTCAAGCAATCAATCATTTGAAAATAGCGGTGTCATACATATTGCTTCAATGCTATAAAGCGAGCCGGCATGTCGTGTCTGTCCCTCGCACCGCGAAAGCCAAGAATGACTCAGCAATTTTATATTCAAACTGCCACTCGCACACCCGTCCTTCGTTTCACCATACGACCGCAGCCAAAGCCTGGCAGATGTATTAACACAGACACAGTGATTTTGGTTGGTCCCACCAGTAATTTCCCTACACAGCCCTTTTTGTTTGTTTTTTTTTGGGGGGGGGGCATTTTTCTTGTTTTTAATTCGCAACGACTCCTCTATTTTGAATGCCCCCCCCCCCCCCCCCCCCTAAAAATGTAGACACCCCTCCTAATTTCAATTCCTGATGAATCCCCTGGGTCCCACCGAATCGCTGCGTCGTCTGCTATTGGAACTTATCGTGAAAGGAAGTAGTTTTTGTCTCCTTGTATTCTGGGTTCATGTTTTGCGGCACAATTATATGTACAATGACTCGATTACAACCTCAAAATCAGGACGGCCGGGATTTTTTTTGTTGTTGTTTTTTTATGTCAAAGTTAAGCCAAGGCTATACACAGGCTCGCGGACACCGACATGCCGCGCAGTCCCCCTACAATCGTCCCTCAATGTCACCATAAAACGACGCGGTCATAAAACGCAATGGGACGGGAAATAATAGCGGCCGATGACCACACGCCCTTCCCGCGCCGGCAGCATCTGCTTCTACAGCGGGCGGCACCAATCATTCAAAGTGAAGGCAGACGACTCGCAAAAACAAAAACCAGACAGAACCGACCCCAGCGCCGCGTTGCGCAAACCTGCCGCCGTCGAGTCACGTGGCAAGCACCCGCCCCGGAACGTGACGTCAGCCTCCACCGCTCCTCCTTGTCCCGAGATGGCGCAGGTGGCGTCGCGACGTGACGTCACTTTGACGTCACGCGCCTCGGGCGGGCCATCCTTGCCGTCGTGTATTCGTGCCAACCGCGTGCTTGTTCGCTGCCGCGAGCGTCGGGGCGAGCGCTACGCAACGCCGTTGCTCGCCGTGACTCATCGCTGGGCGAGAGCGCAGCAGTTCGCGTCGCCCAGAAACTACTCAGTACGGTTCCTCGCTTCCCGTGCGACGCCACACCGCTCGACCTCCCCGATCGCAGTCGGATAAGCGACGGAAACTTAGTTTGTGCACTGGTTCTTCACGTCCTACCTGCTGCCTTGCTTCGATAACGTCGTAGCAACGGTCGTCTTCGCACATTTTTTTCCCAGGTGAGTTCAAACTTGCCTTCGCTCTTCTAGCTCGTAAACACGCGACGTTTCACGAAGACTAAAGGGTACTTCGTCCTGGCAAAGTAGACTTTCAGTGGCTTGTATTCTTGTTTTGTTTGTCGGCTGTTTTTGACAAAAGACAATCGTGTACCGTGGCTCGCGCCTGCTGCTCCACATGTAATTTTATATCGTCACTTCTTTTTTTTTTTTTTCGTAAATAATTTTTTTATCGGTTATCAGGAAGTGTCTACAGCTTTAACAGGCGACTTTTCGAACAGTTTTGACATTTGAAATCACGGTGGTGTGATTTAGGCAAGGCTGTCTTAGCGCGAATGCGCCGACTAGTGTAAGTTTAAGTTAAGTGTGCGCTTGAAATACATTCGATTATTATTTATTTATTTTTTGAAGTTTTCCTTTGACGAATTTTATGCACCTTGGATAACGAGCATTACCTTTTTTGAGTTAGGGAAACTAAAATTTAAATTTGTCGTCTTGTTTTGAATTTGTTGTACCGCCACTTAATTTCACACAGAAATTAACGGCATGTCTGTATCTGGTTTAGGTGGTGTACTGATTCCAGCAAACGCAGGAAACTCGGACGAGACTGCGCTCTAATTTCTGTAATCGCAGTACCTTAGTCGCGTTTGTTGATAATAATAAGAAAAAAAAAAGTTGGCCTCCCCCTTTTTTCTATATCGAGATAGTCTGCTCTTGCTCTATGCATATTTGTTGTAGTTTGACTTCTGTTTGAGAAACGTGCTTTGGCGGTGCTCGCTGTGACAAGGTTCCGAGCTGTGCCCTTCAACGCCTGTTGCAACAAGGCTATAGACGTTCTGTTTTCCTTATTTTTTTTTAATTATTATTCCTGTTTTTGCTCTCTAGTTGGTTGCTGCAGCCTCTGCTTCAGCCTTTCTTTTTCCTTCTCTACTTTCTCTTTGTGTATTATTATTTGCACCAGGAAGAGTATTTTACATATAGCGTTGTTTGTCGTTTGAACTTTTCGAGCCGTCGGCTGTTATTCACTGACCTCCGTAGACGCGAGCTGTTCTTTGTCATAGTTGACTACGATAATGTTATACGTACTTTACATGAAGGTCGGTGCTTGCACTCTATACCGCGGCCGACTTTATGATTCAAGTAATGACTCATGTGAGTGGAAGTTTTTGTTGCTTTTAAGTGAGGCTTAACACGATCGCGCAGTACACTGAATGACCCGCGAATCCTAGCCAATGTTTGTGATGATGGGATGGGATCATGCCGTATATGATGAGGCAGTATCGTTTTAGTCCCATCATCCATGGCATCGTTTCGAAAAAAAACCTTCATTGTAAACGCAGCTTGGAATGCTAAAGGATCCGGCTGACCAATGGCTCGCGCGAGGACATTCTCTAGTCGTAATCATCATTTCGAGTCATGACGGAATCATTTGGCAGTTGTGCCGTATATCCCCGCTAACCAAAGTGCTTAGTCATTGCTGTATACCTCCAGTTTCATACACCCCTCAACTCGACTAAGCCTGAAACAGCGATTCGACATGACTAAACTTGCGTCATGTCGAGTATACTTCAGCTTGCCCGCAATCTTCTTTCATGTATTAAACCTGTCCCTTTTTAACTTTTGCTCCAAATTACGCGCATCGTTCAATCGTCCAACCCATCCAGTTTTTTGGGGTCTTTTTTCTAATATTACAATTTTCCTCATTTCCTACAACAGTCTTCTCCGCACAGGTATCGGTGTTTGCCGCGCTAGTCTGGTAAGGCCCTATAGACCTTTGCAGAAATCGCCTCCTGCGCGCTGCCATCTTTGTCTGCTGGGCTGTGGAACACCTTCCAAGCATGCGCTGTTGATCTGCTCTGCGGTATATCGGACGTTGCGCATGCGTCCACAGCTCAGTGACTCAGCATTTTTTTCCCGCTCGCTTCGTTCGAGACTGCCGCTGGAAAGATCTATACTCTTTTAAGAACCCCATCAGGCAACATTGGCGGCCGCCGTTCCTTGACACGTGGCAAGCACCCCGGAGCTCCCATCCATTGAAGGGTGAAGGGAGACATGAGCTGGGCATCTTGCGAGGTTAGAGAGGCGATCAGTAGGTTGAAATTTGAACTAAGACTGTACACAATTGAGGATACACGATGGGCGGGAAAGGTTAATAAGCATCTGTACATGAAACGTTTGAACACTCATGACCTAGCAGAACCCGAAAACTGAAATTCAAAACAGTCAAGTGCGGGGGTGGAACAAACTACGTCTGTGAACAAAAGGAAGTAAACGAAGTTGATTGAAAGATGTGGGAGAAAAGAATGCAGGGAAAATCAGCTTTAACTACGTATAGGGGACGAAAAGAGGAAATAAGGAAGGAACATTGCTATGATAATTCACGGGGGAGCTCGTTGTTATTCGAGGCTAGAACAGGAGTATTGAGGACTAGGACATATAGGACAAGGTATGAGGAATGCATACGCGGTGTGCCGTATGCCAAGGGGAAGACGAGGGAATAGAACATGTGGTGTAGAGGTGCACAGGGATTGCTCCCGCCCTCCCAGAGGGGGGATACGGATTTAGCCAGAGCGGTGGGGTTTGCAGACAAGAGTGGATGATAAGTGCATTTTAATAACAAAGAGGAGATTGGAAGACTAGGGAGAATTGAATGGGGACTTACAACTAACTGACACAACTGGAGACGGGCGGGACAGAGGAAAATTGGGGCTGCCTCCTGCGTGGCTTCGGCCCAAAATCTCCACCCTGTGTCCCAGTGAGCCCAGTGCCGGGGTAGCGACGACTAGATTTGACCAGAGGAAAATTGCCCACTCCCACGGCGGGGGGAAGGGGTGGGAGGTAAAGTTTTTAGGGTTTATTTTCTTGCTCGCTCCCCCGAAGGTCATTCTGGTGATATCGCACACCGCCTGGTGATAGTTACGAAATTGCAGAGTGTAAGCAAATTGGCGATGGAAAGAAAATCATCCTCTTGGTTCTTAACTTCTAAGATAGGTGGCGCAAGCTACCGCCCGTTATAAACAGTACAGCCGTTAGCATCCATCGGGCACGAAGTGTGTGATTGGATCCGAGTCTTCGCCGAATGCTGACGCAGCCCTCGTGTCCAACGCATGCTCAGAGTATATATCTCGGATGCCATGGGCAGACTCGGATAATTGGCGCAGCAGCTACCAGATGGTGCACATTTTTGAACGGTGTCTTTTTGCCTGTATTCTCATCGGTGTTGTCGGGTGTTTGTGGCCGGCACTGTTAAACCATCCCCAGTCGTTCACTTCCGGAAGCTCGGGACGCTTCTTGATGTACAACGGGCTTAGCGAGCACCGACGTAGCACGACTCAAAGTCGCCCGACTTGACAGTCTAAAAACCCGCATGCCGGGCGTGTCATACACTTTTTGAAAGTTTCGTCCGCGTGTAAGCGTTTCTGATTGTTTGTTTTCCTGTGTTGATGTCGAATGCACGCGAGCGAGCAAGGAGTACGACACCTGTCCTCGATAATAACTGGAACGCGCGCATGACACATCGTGTACGCCCGGCTAGTTTCTCGGACAGTGGGAATTGTTTGTTGTTGTCTGACCGCTGTGCTTGCTATTCGGCCAACGGTTGACCCGCTCCAAGTTTTTTGCCCCCTAACCCTTCCCCTCTCTCCGCCCGCACATCGCCTCGCTAGCAGCTGACTTATTGTAATTTCCGGACTGTTGTCCGCACCCTGTGTACATCAAACGGCCCAAAAAGAAAAACAAAGTTCGTCTGCCACTTTTGCAGGGGTTGTGGTTACGTCAGAAAGAGGCCTAGCTCTGATTGGCTCTGACTGAAGGATAGTGGGTGGACCTCAGAGAAAGCTGCCTCGAGGTCTACCCACTATTCTTTAATCAGAGCCAATCGGAGCTAGGCGTTTTTCTGACGTCACCACAACCGATGCAAAAGTGGCAGACGATACTTGCGCTCTGCATAGCGGATGGTACGAAAGACTCGCTTTCAAACCGGCACGAAAATCTGAAGTGACCCGAAAAGTAACTGTTACTTTTTCCAAATAACGGCCATCTACTTTTCTTCTCAAGTAATCGAGTAATCTAATTGAATACTTTTTTTTAACGAAGATACTGTACTTGAAATATATATATATATATTTTTAAGTAACGTGTCCAAGACTGCTTAGTCGTACAGAAATAAATTTCACATAACAACGTCACACAAAATCCGTGAAATCTAGTTACAAAAAACGATATTAGGAAAAAAAATCTTGTATATATAGTCCGTACCGCGTCTAAGATCTCCGCTTTTAAACACGTAGTATTTACTAAGTATTAACCACGAAAATATCGCACACTCTTGCCGACTCGCATAAAATGCTGCCCTCCGGTTACTGGAGCTTCCGCCTACGTTAATGTTTTCTTGTTTTTTGTTTTTTTTCCCCCGAATGATCGATCGATATGAGTGACGCGATAGTGACTCAGCCAGATATCTCGGAATACTTCCCGCGGGGGCAGTGATTTCTTTTCCCCCGAAATATACGGAGTATTGATGGCCCCCTGTCCACTCGGAAAGAAGTGTTGCACCTTCTTCGGTGTAGGCTGTTGCACCACTTTGGGTGTAAAGGAACGCCCGACTACCTGGTAGCGTCGGCTCAGCTTTTGACGACGCTGAAATCCTCCCGTTATTTTTACGAGTCCCACTTGAGTCGAGTAATTTTGTAGCAGGAAAGTGGCTTTGTTAATGTACAGTTTACATCGATGCACTTCTTCCTGAGCCCCCTTGCAAAGTAGTGGATTAGTATTCGGGCAGGCTGACCTTTTGGTTTTTTTGTATGTGAGAAATCTATTTGTCTTAAGACAGTAATACAGTTGAATAAAGTATGCACTAAATATGCTTACATTATTCACTAAATACAATAAAGTATGCGCTAAATACAATAAACATGCGTACTACACTAAAAGTATTCACTATATACAATAAACATGCGTACTACACTAAAAGTATTCACTAAATACAATAAACATGCGTAC